ATGAGATACCTGCAATGTGAGGCCCCCAAGATAGCTAAGTTGGTTTATAACTCCAATAACTATGGTTTATTGTACGCAAATAACTCTATGGTTACTGGGGCTTATAAACCAACTTAATTATAACTGGGGGGGGGGCCACATTGTGCAAAATACCATTTTAGGCAAGAAACAAAATGACGGACCAGATTGTTATGACATCATTCTCCCAAGCTGTCATCCGCCTGACCTCTGGGCCCCCGAACAACTTGTAGTGCAAAGCTGTGGCCTCAACAAAAACCAGGTCGCCAGCGCGAACCGGCAATCACGGCCACGGCAGGGTAGAACGAACATATGTTGTTTTTAACACAATGACATATAAATAAAAAAAAACACAGGACTTGAAGAACATTCAAACCCTCATGAGATTCAATTGATTTCAGCTGCAAACATGGGGAATTGAGTGATTCCGGTGATAGAAACCATGCAAAACTGGAGCAAAATACAGCAACATCAAGAAGCGTAAACTTACAAAACATCTCTAAAAGCATGGGAAAATACACGACAACCTTGGGGATAACTGATGATAAATGTAGGAATCAGTGTTCAGGCCCGGTTGTGGAGGATTTTCTGGGCTCCCGACTGCGGCTGCGCCAGTACGTTGCTACTCGTCGAAGAAACTCCATCTGAGAAACCTTGGACGGGGATTGTGCGCTTGGAGTGCGGCCTTGAATATCTTAAGAATATTCTTGAATCATATCTTTGCTTTATATATAATAATTATGCAACAAAAAGGGTGCGTTTATTCATGTTTATTCAAAAGTGCTCGTTTGCCCGAAAAGCGCTCGATCCTTCAAAAAGTACTACGGAAAGCAGGTTGAGCACTTTTTTTTGCTCGAATGAAGATCCAGGAACATTTTGGATTGACTTAATCTGATTGATATAGATTCAATGACTGGTCGGCAATGTGGATGAGTATTTCTGATACCAACAACATGTAGAAATCCAAACTGAAGCCAGATAGGGCTGCAAAAGCAAACAGTTTGGGGTTTGAACCCAGACGCAATTGCACAATCACCAACCAATGGTTGACAAACCGTAGAACACAAGGGGTTGAACGTCCCGTATCGGTGAACAGCGATGATTTAAGCCAAAATGATAGCTTCAAATGCCAAGACAACGAACATGCCGAGATTAAACCACAACTTCATACAAGACAATAGCTTAAAAAAAGTTTCACTATCTAATCAACAGAGGGGTTGAAGCAGCATGGTTCAAGCAAAGACATAACGTTTTGCCAAAATAAAAGGAGATTTAAGTATTCAAGGAAGACAGCGGTCCATTTAAACACCAAAACAAAAGTTACGCTCGTATTTTCCTTGAAATTATAAACCCCACAAGGGAGACAACCCAGGTTTGACTCGATTGATACGTCACTTCTTCATACATCTATGGACAATCATGGAGAAACATTTCATAGGGAAAGGCATGTAAAGAGCTCAGAATATCACAAATACAATCCAACTCTATATGATCGATGAATCTGCATGCATTTGTTGCATTCGTTGTTTTACATGTGCAGTATGACAGGATGTATATTGCATAAAACAACATCAAACTAAATGCTACTAAATGTATGTTTTATCACATTAAAGAAACAAACACGACAAAACACAAGGCAGTACAAATATACTGGCAGCTGTGGAAGAATGGCGGTGAAGGTCCATTGAGTACCCTGTTGTTTTCTTCGTCATGTCAGCTGAATGCCTACGTGCTGCTGGAAATATCTATCGTTCCCATCGACGGTTTCTTGTTTCTGAAGTTCAAATCCGGTCAAATCGCTCACATCAGTTTATTCTGAAAATGTGGTGATGTGGTAAACTGGTAAACCAAGAAGTAAAACTTACCGTATCCGGGATGCTCTTTAGCAGCTCTTTAGGGCATTTTTTTTTGGTGGTTAGAGATAGGTTTTACCACAACATGCAATATGCAGTTCACTTCAGTTAACTATCAAGGTTCACCCCTTGTCTGCGCCCGTTTTAGTGTCCTGGTTTTCGTTGCTCAAAGTCAGCGGCCAAAAATCTGATGGACGTCTTCTGAATCTAAATTGCACTTGTTTAGCCATGAGTGTACCACTAGAATGAAATATATGTCACTCCCCCAAGGAGTACCATGATTGTCCATGATTTGCAGCTCTACGCTGAATGAGCAAACGTTTTTTTAGTAAATGGAACTGAATCAAAAACATTTGCTCGCGATGGCCCATTGGCTGGCCTTCTCAATGCACCGCATGGATGATCTGATATTTTTGCAAGAACAACTGTGGTTGGCTGGGTATTTAAACAAAAAAAACATAGCAAACAAACATAGCAAAAAAACAAACAACATATAAGAACATCAACACCTGCCTTCCACCAATTGGTTCACCCATCATCAACGTAAACATTGTGGCTCAAAACCAGTGGTCTAAACGTAGAAGTTGCTGGTGAATTTCCAATTCTCGTCGCTAGTCCTAGGTACATTCAGCGCTGAGAACACGTGAATTCTTATCTGGTTATACTCGTTCCATCACGTTCCATCTTGCCTGCACTGCAACTTGGGTGTCGCGTCAGCGACAAGGCTCAAACTGAATCTCCAAGAGCTGCTGACTCGTGCAAATTGTCTCATCAAAATGGCATAAAGAAACACCGCGCCTATAGGCCTATATATAATACTATATGTATGTATGTATGTATGTATGTATGTATGTTTGTTATACATTTATAATACATATATCATATATATTATATATATACTATAAATAAATAAATATATATATATGTACAAAATATAGCCTTTTAATGTTCAACCAAACATTACCCAGCCCCTGCCATTCTTTCGCATACTTTCGCAACTTAAACGATGGAATTCTTGGCGCCCGGACGGGAGAGCAGCAGGAGTCAATGGCGCAACAGCTGAGAGCCAGCTGTTCGCGGAGAGAACTTGGATTTGTAACCGTTTACCAGAGGGTTGTGGCTGAATTCTATGGTTTATGGTAGATATACAACTATAGATGACTATGGTTACTGGGGTTTAGTTACTGGTTATTGTTATCATAATGTTGGTGATTAATCAACCATTCATAACCACAAATCATAAATCCTAATTAACCATTAATTAAACATTAATTACCCTCTGGTTATGACTAACATAGCCATGGAAGCCATGGTCCATTTATAGATGGTTTACCTTTTAAAAATGGTGATTTTCCATGGCTATGTTAAATAACCAAATGGTAATTGGATTACTATTTTTTACGGATTTGTTTAACTTCCCGATCTTTTTGGGGGTTGCTATAAGGATTGAAGTCTACTGTTGATATGCGGATATGCGTTTGATTGTTGACTTTTGATTTAGGGCTGGTATGCAGTTACAAATCAGGTTCGCCCAAGAGGCAATATTGTATTTACACCACATATCAAGTGATGTGCATCTTTTTTATTTTGTGATGGGTTAAAATGCACCATGCCTGTTGCGAATTTCAATCTGCCATCCTGCTTGTAATGTGCAGTACCAGATTTTCGATCAACCGTCCTCTCACAACAAGCTATTACAGGGGTCTACATGTTGCTATTTTTCCCACAAATGGATTTTCAATAGCTGAGTTCGTTGATCACTATATAATGCCATGCTCCCATGTCGTAGCAGTCAGGGCAAAACCTGTGATGCCTGCTTCCATAGGAATGATGATGCCAGGCACAGTATGCTAAATGTATGGGGGAATGATGTATGTTTCAACCTACCAACAAATAAATGTCACAACTAGACCCTGGCATAGTTCATCTCTGCAACCGAACAGCATTAGAATACGCCGCCACCATTGTGACCATTTCTGCGTGATAGTTTACATGGTGGACTTAAACATCAAAAAAACATCAAAAACAAAATACCGTCGCCCGTAGCGAACTCGGTCCTTTTTACCTGCCTCATTCGCAGGTGCAACATCGCATGCTGAAAGTTCTTTCAGAACCTTGGGCACCATTTGCCACAAGGCATGGCGATGATTGCATCGCCATTGCCATTGGTAGGCATAGTTCCATATCTCATCATATCTCAGCATTCAAAAGTTTGTTCTTTGCATTCTTTGTATGGACACGGTTTGGAATGAAATCTTTGCAGTACTCCCAACATTTCTCCAACGTCTGTGTGCCAACTGTGATCTTACGACCATTTGGTCTTCTCACTTATCTGGCCAACTCTAGCAAGAAGACATGTTGAAGACATGTTGAGTGGTAGCATGAACGATGCTAGCGTTAGAAACCTCATGAAGTGTAGTTATAGCTACCATAAACCCTAGTTTACCATAGTTAACCTAGCTATATTGCAGTCCAACTTAGGGTGGAAGGCAGTAGCCGAGGCCATTGCCGGGTGCATGAGCCATGATACCGTCAATTTGAGACTGCCCCAATAAAGTGACGGACTTACACTTGGAATAGACAATCTTCCAAAATCATCCAAAATCCCTAAACCCCTAAACCTGCATTGTCCTTGAATTTTGATTCATGACTCTGTACTTAGAACCTGTTTAACTGTATGTACAATCATGTAAAGAAGACATGTGGAGCGTAGCATCGAACATGTGAGCAAGTGCACAAAGACGTTAACATCCCCCCACCCGAAGGTATGTCTGTGAGTATGTAATCTTTGTGTGATCATGTAAAGACGCCATGTGTGGACGCATATGAAACTTGTGAAAGTATTAAAAACAACAAAAACACCGAGTTCGCTACGGACGCGGCGGTAGCAAAAACAACTTTCCGTGGGGTGGAACCATCTTTGAAACAGCAGCTACTCAGCTTTCTTCATCAACACCGGGATATCCCCAAGTTTGGATCCATTTGATCACTACTGAGATATCCCTTGACATCAGATATTTCCCATGCCAAAAAGTTTATCCATTTACCAATGTACCAACTGATCCGGTCAGGGATCAGAAAAATCACAACCCGCAGCCCGCAGCGCTCTCTTTTTCTGCTGTCGATATTTCATGATGTCCCGATTCGCGACGCTGAAGAGCGCTTCAAAATCTGGCCTCGAGAAAGCGAGAGAGAGGGAGGCCTTATTCATCTCCATCAATAAGCCACAAAAAAGCTTTTGATGGAAAAAAAGGTTCCCTCCATCTGTGGAAGAACAAGATACGATTGATCAACAAAACTTCAAGGATTTGCCGGAAGGACTGTGTTGAACAATAGCATCAAGATGCGAGACTTGTGACCCTTTATGAGTTGCATTAGATGTGTCTTGCCCTCTGGCAATTTGTTGCAAAGCTATGGAAATCAGCATCTTTAGAAGCGGCAATTAAATCATATATATAATCAAATCATAGTGATATTACCATTTCACAAGCTACCAAATCCTACTGCACAGTGGATACATGTTTGCAATGACCGCAAGTTGTCCCTCCGTGAGCTTAAAACCCACGATCCAAACCGCGACATGAACAACATACTCATACTCTATATCTCTCTGTATCTTAATAGACTACGTGGATCACACATATGTACTTATGTATATTAACAATTTTTTAACATATACATATATACTAATACAAATCATTGCACATCTCTACAAACATTGTGGTGTTTTTGGTTGCTGGTGGTTTCATGTTTCACAGTGAATTCCAGCCGAATCATATTGGGATCATCCTCTTCCACCAGCAGAATGTTCTGTTTGGCAAAGATTGAACTTGTTCGAAACTCTACAAACAAGGCAACCGGTTGACTCGGCGCCCTTGTAAGGGTGACGAATTTGAAATTGTCATTTTTGAGGGTAAGAGAGAAAATGCTGGTATTTGCAGGAGTCGTCAAAAAATGTGTACAACATGGACATTCATTTCGATTGGCAGGCGTGTGACTCAAGAGTGAAAATTTGAATTTCGCCTGCGCGGTGACTCGATTTTTCTCTTCAAGGGTGAAAAAAAAACATTAGAATTTTATGATTTTAAGTCATCCAAATCACATCAATCAAGGCGGTATTCAATCCTCTTTTTTTTCCACTGTTCGAGGTTAGCGGTGCCAGAGTGCTTGTGGCAGTGCTGATGCTACAGTCTGTAACAAGGCAGCGTTGTGACGCCAAGTCCAGCTGTAAGCATAACTGTACCGTTTTTGGTACACCTGTTGTTTCTTTTGTGGAGCATGGATTGAGGTCGCCATTTTTTTAAGTGTTTCCAAGTTCCATCAAGTTGTTGAGTTCCAGCAATAATGGTTCTAGAGGAAATCCAACCACGACCAACATAGGTTCACGCAGGAAATCCGCAAAAAGCGCGTCAGACAATGCAAGATGTCAGCAACGGCAACCTCTTCTGTAACGTAAAGGAAGTGCTCGATACGAACGTTAACATCCCCCCCCACCCCCCCTGACGATCATACGACAACAAATGCAACATGTGCCTCTTCCGTACCGTGAGGGAAGCGCTCGACACGAACGTTAACATCCCCCCCCACCCCCCCCTGACGATCATACGACAACATATGCAACCTGTGCCTCTTCCATGTGCAACACGTTAAAAAATCGAAAATTTCAAATCCTATACCCCCATTTCGGAAAACCTCATTTTTGAAATTTGCAACCCTTCCACGGGATCGTAAATGGCACATCTCAAAATCGACAACCCTTCCAAGGGCGCCGTATCAGCCGCATGCCACAAACAACTCCCCGCCCAATATACATTAAGGTATCTGTGCATCTGTGTATATATATAATTAATAATAACAATCATAATAAATGTGTATATATAATTATAATTATTTACATATAATATATTATATATATATATAGTAATATAGTAATAATCTATAATAATCTATACTGGTCTATGTATGTTCCATGTCTTCATGACTTCAACAAGGCCCATCTGCTTAATAAATTGGCTGTTTTCACATGTCAACAAACAAATCAAGTGTTGCTCCACATACCCTCTGGTAATTTAACATGGCTATTGAAAATGGCCATTTATAGTGAGTTTTCCCATTAAAAATGGTGATTTTCCATAGCTATGTTAGTTTACCAGAGGGTAAATACCTGAAGATAGTGCAACCCTCTACTTACTGGTGCGTTTTACGCAGGGAATTTTCGGGAATGATCCACTGGCTAACTATCAATTTCATCATCCCAGCAACCCCCAGCAACCCATCCAGCAACCCTACGTTTAACGCACTAGTATGTCTCTGTTACCAAGTTGGTTTTGCCACGTCTATCCGTTTTTTTTTCCCTGTTGATGTCCCAATTCTGGGATTCCAACCCATCCAAATCCTAGTTGGTGAATGGATTTTACCTATAAATCACCACAAAAAATAGGGAAATTCTATGGATTTTTAGATGTTTTCTGGTGCTTTTGAGTAGAACTACCCCTGTGAAAAATGATGGACTTCGTCAGTTGGGATGATTTTCCATTCCCAACTGAATGGACAAATAAAGCCATGTTCCAGTCGCCACCAACCAGTTGCTGGTGGTTTCACCCTCCAGCAAATGGATTGCCATTTCGGACCATCTAAACCCATCTAAACCCATCTAAACCCATCTATAAATTGGTTGAAGATGAACCACACGTGCCGTGCCACTTTCGAATGCATGTACCAATCACTTTCGATGGTCAGCTCCGCAAGTTTTCGTTGCTTTTTGCAAAACCACGGTTTACAAACCCCAAAGGCCTGGCTTCTGTTTGCTTACTTGGACATGTAACCTGGGCTTAGGTCAACAAAAGGTGCCCTGTTTTGAGGCCTCTTTAGTGCCGGAGTCTGTGATGTCAATGACATATGGGATGAATGCGGTATGAAGAGATTGATGAGCATCCTCCAACATGAGTACTTCACCCATGTTTTGACAAAGGCACGTATGTGTCAATGAAGAGGTGAACCGAGAACAATGGGCACAGGTCAGTATCAAAGCAAATCTGTGGGTGCATGTTCTTCTTCAATTAATAAACTTCTCACTAAAATTGATTCATTTTTTTTTCCTGCGGACCAATTTCGGGACCACACCCATATCTGGGCAAAGTATAGTAATTCCTAAACACATCATCATCAATGGAGTGGTCGTTGCGGTAACACTGGGCAAATGAACCAGCAGCAACACATGGGGGGAGTCAACTCCGAAATGCTGACGGGTAAACAAATTGGGGCCCTGGAACTACAAAGAGCATTTGGTATCTTTACTATGTAGTTCCATTTTGTAGTTCCATTTGGTTCTTTGTATTATTAGCTGTCATTTTGCAGTTAATTTTTTGAACTATTATGAACCATCCGGTTGTTGGGCTATTCAATTTTGCTACCAAAACTCTGATTGCTGGGGTGGATGGGTAGTACTTGGATGATATCTCCGTCTCCGTCTCCATCATCGGCTTCACAACCAGCATCATCTGGCCAGTTTTCACTAATGAAAAGAGTCGGCCCAAAGAATTTAAGGATTATCTGCAGGTTTTTAGCAAATCTGAGGATCACATGATGTATATATATATATACACGTATATATGTATATATATATATATATATGGACATGCTGGGATAGATTTGCCGATTTTGACAACGGGGGCAGGTGACATCTATAGTCCATGGCCATGTCCATGACCACTGGGATCCCCCAGCGTCTAAACGCTATAGCCGCTATAGCTTCAGATAAGCCATGGATAGATCAAACCACCAATAGGAATTCCCACTATAGATCAACTATAGATCATAACCCATGGTGGTATGTCCGCTATAGATCATGATAGTGTCTGGATTGAGAAAAAATATATCATTGCCAATCTTAGATACCCTGCAAAAAAATGACAAACTCTGAATGCTGGTGAACGTAGATATTCCCAGCCAGATACCAAAAGACTAGTTAGGAATAGTTTGTATCCATGTTTCAGATTGACCTAGATATGGCCTTTTTCTGAATCCACTCACATCCACGAAAACCCCCAAGAAGACGATCGCAAGCGACCCACGTTGCTCTCTACATAGTTGATCAACTCCTCGGCGCTGTTTTAAGGCGGACGATCGCCCACCATGATGGGGGTTGTTTTAAGATGGTTTAACCAGGGGAAATAGCCATGAAATAGGCCCAAAATTGCGTTAGCACATTAGTTGGGAACAGTTCGTGATGCAATGGACTGGGACACCCTAGCTGAGACGAAAAACAGGGCGAAACTTTGCCAATGTGTTGCTTCCCAGCCGCGAAACTCTCTAGGAAAACCATGGCAGTCACCACTGATCCACTGGCTGGATTTATGAGAATCCACTAGCCAAATTCTTCATCCCATTCTCCAAAGATTGGCCAATCTTTACAGCCAAAAATGACAAAAACAACCAAGAACTACATTAGATTTCTGGGGCTGTGAACGGAAACTGTTGCGTTTTGTTGGGCTCATTTGGCTCATTTGACGTTGCTCAGCCGGCGCTGTCATCACCCATACTGAGGATTAGATTTCAATGTGGGAGAACTCCAAGCAGCTTGCAACTTTTCGGCATAAGTGACATACAATTCCGTAGAATTCCATTGTTCTTATGTAGTCTTATGTAGCTGGCTCTTCCTAGATATCTTGAGAATTCTTGAGATACACTATACAACTATGTTCTTGGTTGTACTGAAAGGGTATCAACAACTCCACATGCTTGGATGGCCCAGAGTTCCAGGCTCATCCCGTTCCAAACAGACATGGAACGCCCGTTCCAAATTTATCGCGTCTTGGGGGCATGACATGTTGTCACATTTCACCACTTGATCATATTGGTCTGTCTGAAATGGAATACCTAAAAAACATCAACAAAATCCAAACATATCCATTGGTTAATCATGATTTTCCCTATGAAACTATGAATTTAGGGGGTACCCTCTGGTAATTTAACATAGCTATGGAAAATCACCATTTTTAATGGGAAAATCCACTATTAATGGTCATTTTCAATCGCTTTTTGTATGTTTACCAGAGGGTACACCCAGCTACCAGAAAATTTCGCCATATTTCGCCCAGGATCCATCTCAAAGTTCAGCTGTCCAAGTGCCTCACCTCGTGCCATCGACATCGTCAAGAAGATCTTCACACCCTGTGAATGTAAACTTCTCTATGGCTTAAGGATTTGAAGAACTGTGAATCGTGTGAAGATATTGTAAGCCTAAGGCTAGTACTTCACTAGTGTGTTTCAATCAAGACATCTTCACACCACGAAGGACATGAGCAAGAAATGGGTAAACTGGGTAAGTGCCATGACGGATCAAACAAATCAAAATTTTCGAGCATGTGCTGGCAGCTACTTGTCAAATTGTAACATATCCCACTGGAGACCAAAGTTATCCAGTTACAAGCCCAGTCGTACGGTATGGACCTTGCTTCAAAGTGGTCAGTTGCCTACTTGTTTAAGTGAACACATCAGACCTAGGCCTATCAAAATCGCCTAAAAACGATGTCCCTCATGTTGAAAATGAGTTGGGCAAACAACACATTGATCTGGGCATTTCTTTGCTCTCAAGCCAACCCGCTAAGTCCTTGTTGATATCATCAGTGATGTTTTCGGAAACCATATGTTTTACAGTGGTAAACCCAATGCCACAAATCATCCCGGCAATCACTATTAATGGGTACTACTTGGTACTATAATCTCTAAAAATGGTAGGTTTATGGCCTGGGTTGCCCACATTGGCCATCATTAACCAGTGTTCTCCCCTCATTTTCTTCGGTTCACCGAGCTTTTTGTCAGACACGTGGCCGTAAGTGGCTTTCCAATTGCCCAAGGTCTTCTGATGGGGTCCATCCAAATCTTCCTTCGTCACATACCTTCCATTGCCAGCCGACCGGCGTTGGATAGGTCAATGCTGCAAGATGCTGTTGGATGGGGTATCTGAAAATGGGGATGCCCCATTTTATGGTTATCTTCTATGGGGAAAATTATGTTAAAAAAAAACGTATATTGATTTTGGACCCTATTTTAAGACAAAGCCTCTTGGGGATTGGTCAAAGTCAACCCCTCAAAATGCATGGTTTATATACTAAACATGACCACTGTGGATCTATTGGCGCCCCATTGTCATACCCTGGCGCAACTCAGAGTAGGGATGCCAAGGCCACCGAGTTCCCCTGATTGAGCACGCAGCAAAGATCCTCACTTCTTCACCGCAGATGAATATGACATGAATGACATGTGAAAAACACGGTCAGAGGACTCAGAGGACTTGACCAATGTGTCTGGTTTGCTTAAGCATTTGTATTGGTTTAGTGGCGATGCGAAACCACCATCCCCCCCAAAAATACTTCACTGGGATTTTCTGAAAAATCCATTTGAAGCGATCGTCCGTTTGGATCCCGACATGCGATGGAATGTTTAGATGGTTTACCACCCGCCATCGTGCTCCATCTGGCTGGTGATGATTCACCCACCAGAATTTAGGTTTCTATAGCGGGCCGTTCTCCTTACGGCCCCCATAATATACAGTGACGTCGTCACTATAATTCACTCTTCATTTTTTTTTACACCTGCTAGACCCCAAACGGCCACATACAATGTCAACGGAAACATGAACAACAAAAAAGTATATGCTTTACCCTGCCGCAAACTAACACAGCGATAGCGATATGTAAAATCCATATTATGTTTCTCGGTCGGAACATGATCTACATGCATAGTGTCTTTTCTAATACAAGATCATTGACGTTTCTTTTCAGGAGGGTAATGCGTCTTAAACAAGTCGTCATTGTTCAAATTCCAAAAATGATTACCCAAAACATCAAAGGATAATGAGGCCTCCCACAAAATGATAGCGTACAATGATAACCATAGATGTTCCATCCTAAGTTTATCATTGGTTTCTCTGAAAATAGGGTCGATTTTTCCCCTTAAAATGCTAGTCTTGGGAGGTATCCGAGGTATCCCCCATTGAAAGCCACACCCATTCCGCATGAATGTTGCTTATATCCCATTAAAATCCCGTAAATTCATCATGATATTCACTTCAATCACCATCAGAATTAACGGGATGAATCATAGGGGATATTTAATATAATAGATAAAGTCAGATATTCAGAATCTTCATGTGGATAAAACCTTTTTTACAAACTACCCTCTGGTTATTTAACGTAGCCATGGAAACCATGGCCCATAGAAATAGATGGTTTACCGTTCTTAAAAATGGGTGGATTTTCCATGGCGAACTGTTAGTCATAACCAGATGGTAAAAAGTTGTCAAAAAAATCTTCGTTGCCCTCTGGTAAACGTTTACATAGCTATGGAACATCCACCCATTTTTCATGGGTAAATCCACTATATCTATGGCCAGTTTCAATAGCTATGTAACAAATTACCAGAGGGTATATCCCCATTACCCAGGTGGATAATAGGATATTCATGTGGATAAAACCATATAAAAACTATGGTTGTCCAAAAAATCTTCGTGAAATCACCATGGCTTCGTTAAGTCCTGGGACCCGGCGGCGTCTCTCGGCCGTTCCGAGGCTCACCTTTCGTAGATGATGGCCTTGGTGGGATCGTCGAAGTGATCGCAGAACTCGTAGGACCTCGGCGATGTTCAGCCGCTCTCTTTTGGACGCTGACCGTTTTGAAAAATGCTGATTTTAATGGTATTTTAATGTGATTTAATGGGATTTAATGGGATTTAATGGGATTTAATGGGATTTAATGGGACATAATGGGATTTTATGGTACTTTAATGGGATTTAATGGGATTTAATGGGATTTTAATGGGATTTAATGGGATTTAATGGGATTTAATGGGACATAATGGGATTTTATGGTACTTTAATGGGATTTAATGGGTAAATGATGGTTACCCGGCCTGGTAAACGTTTACAAAAAACGAACTGGAAAATCCACCCATTTTCTAGCTGGGAAAATCAACTATTTCGATTGGGCCATTTTCAATAGCAAACTGTTGGTTTACCAGAGGGTAATGGGATTGAATAGGGAGATATAAGCAAACAATGGAGATTGAACCGATTTAAGTAGTAAACATTGGGAATGAACCACTAAGAATTGGGATTTTTCACCAATTTTCAGTTTGTTGGGGGAGTTGATCAATCCATGGTGATAAAGATGCTCTTTTTTACCATCCAAGAAGGTCGTACAGGATTGGAAGGAAGATTTAGGATGGCCAGGGCCACTGGTATACCATGAATCCAGTCACAACCATTGCTTGCGAGGAACCGGAGCTTCAAACACAGGTCGTCAAACGAGTTTTTCAGACGGGGAAAGAGACAGCTTTCTTAAACATAAACGTTTAGCAGTTTTAGCTGCGAATGCCCATACATATCTTAAGATACATCTGGTGGAAATTTGGTCAACCAATTCTAAAAATCCTGGTTTCGACTGGCCGTCACGAATGTAATGCTGCCAGAATACGAAATGAAACCGCCAACACCCAAGACTGGAATATTCAATCAGCAAAGACTAGTGCAACATCTGTGGTTTCCAGTTTCCAGGGGCTTACACTTTGAAACCATTGTTAAAGTATTATTAACGGTTGTTAACAATTATAAACCATTATTAACCATTATTAGCCATTATTGACCGTTATTAACCATTATTAACCATTATTAACCATGATTAGCCAATGGCAATGGTTATTCAATTAACTCATTTCCGGCCAAAAAACTCAGCCAGCGAAGCATACTGAAAATTATCAAACAATTGCCTTGGCGAGGTCAGCCGTATACTAAAAGACTGCCCCACACACACAAATATATCTTAATGGTTAATAATGGTTAATCATGGTAAATAATGGCTAATAATGGTTAATAATGGCTAATAAATAATGGTTAATAATGGTTAATAATGGTTAATAATACTTAACAATGGTTAATGTGGGTAAGTTAGAATATTTCACTAACCTAAATTAAGGCCATTTGGCCATTTGGGGATAATTTCCCTTACTGACCATGATTTCCAGTGAGGTCGCAGTGAGGTCGCTATAAGATATATGGAGGTACCCTCTGGTAATTTAACGTAGCTATGGAAAATGGCCATTAATAGTGGATTTTCCAATTAAAAATTGTGACTTTCCATAGTTATGTTAGTTTACCAGAGGGTAAACCCCCCAATCATCCAGTCGTCATGGATGACCATGACTACAGTAAGTATTGAAACCGTTTTGGTGACGACTGGGGATCCCCTGTGCTGGGTCATTCTGGGTCCATGTGAAAAACCCTCCAAGATGTCCTGAAGATCTGAAATGTTTCTATTCATTTTAATGGGATTTTATGGTATTTTGATGGGATTTAATGGGATATATGATTGTTACCCTCCGGTAAACGTTTACACAACTATGGAAAATCACCATTTCTCAACTTGGGTAAATCAATGAACTTTCGCCATGTTCAATAGCCATGGTTTTCCAATCACAAGAGGCTAAGTCTTCCTGAAAAATATACCCTCTTGTAAATTAACAGTTCGATTCTGGCAGATAGAGGTTGGAAGATTATAACTTCCATTGGTCAACTGTGCTATAACTTCAGGGTCAAACTCTTAATTTACCGGGTATATTCAGCTGGTTGGTGGTATACCTACCCCTCTGAAAGATGATGACATTCCCACTATATGGAAAGTCATAAAATTCATGTTCCAAACCACAACATATGAGTTCGTCAGTTGGGATGATGACATTCCCAATGCATGGAAAGTCATAATCCACTCCATGGTTCCAGTCACCACCAAGCAGTTCAGATAGTTATTCCAACTATTAACCATTCTTAACCACACATTAACCATAGATTAACCATAGATGAACCATTATTTACCATAGTAAAACCATTGTTTCATCAATGATATCATACTTCCATCTCGACCATAGATTAACCATAGATTAACCATAGATTAACCATAGATTAGCCATTGTTTACCATAGTCAAACCATTGTTTCATCAATGATATCATACTTCCATCTTAACCATAGATTAACCATAGATTAACCATAGATTAACCATAGATTAACCTTGCCATCTTGGGATCAGATACTTCCAGTTCATCACTGGGCCCGTATGATCCTTCAAGATCCAAAAGCTATCCGCCTCCTCCCAAGCTATGCTTCCAGGCAGACACTTTGCTTCCTTCTCCTTCACCTCCTGATGGTCACGGCGCACACACAGTCCGCACAGCTGTTTACCAATGGACGAATCACGTACATTAAATTTTCCTGTAGGACATATGAATGTATGTAGATAAGGATATCATTGATATATATATATATATATATGATATATATATATATATTGATATATATATATATTGATATATATATATATTGATATATATATATATATATTGATATATATATATATATATATTGATATATATATATATTGATATATATATATATATTGATATATAATATATATATATATTGATATATATATATATATTGATATAATGAGATTATCCAGGTCTATCATCTACCCGCAGTTCAGGGCAATTTCATGGGAGACAACATAATACAACAGTCGAATATGATGACCAACATGTGGATCTGCATTTGTCCGGTAATTTTTGGCCAACAAAAGCCATGCAGGTCTGGCAGCCACCAGAAAAGTCAGAACATACCGCCTTCATCGCATACGTCTCGTTTTGAGCAGGACGCGGCACAGCCACAAACGCCACGTCTCGTTGAGGGGAAAAAACGTTTTTTTGAACTCCAGGTCCAGGTCGCGGATGGATGGATTGTCATTGAAATGTCCCCTTCCCGTGTGGTTTTTGGATGTGGGTATAAGCTGAGCATCGCCTTGGTACTTTGTTGATTCCCCCCTATGAAAAGGTTACCCTCCAGGAAGCCAACACTTCACTATGGAAGCCATGCACCATAGAAATAGTTGATTTACCTGTTATAAATGCTGATTTTCCATGGTGAACTGTTGGTTTACCAGAGGGTAACCATCATATATCCCATAAAAATCCAATCAAATCCAATCAAATCCCCACAGTCCGTGTGCCCAATCCAGTCAAAAAAAAGCCCACTCCTTGGCGATGTTGGACCAAAGCCTCACGAGTCGCACCGCTCGTCGGACTTTTCTGCAGGATGGGGCATCAAATAGGTTTATCTGTATTGTAGAATGTACTGTAACTGGTTGGTGGTTTTAACCATCTTGAAAAATATGAAAGTCAATGGGAGGGATGACATCCCATTACCATTTTGTGCCCATCTATATATCTGATATCCGTATAATAACAACCAAGCTATACTGCTGTAAATCGTGTGTATCTTTCTTGCGGAGTAGGATGCCAGCCAGCAACAGTTGGTCCAATGACTATTCTGGCCATCAGAGACAGTCAACTGTACAGGAGCATGGCTCAAAGTTTTGAAACGCAACTGGATGGTTTGCTGAAAATATGGAATTATTCGTGGGTCTGCTGGAACACATGGCAGTGTGTCAAAACCGGTGATACCCCTGTAGTTCACATCAAAATAGCTGGGATTTATGGATGTTCATCCCACTAAAAATGGTATTAATAGGTATTGATCCATAGCCACATATGTTCCCAGCATTTTGTGGTCGTCTTGTCGCCAAGCATCTGTTTGAACTTCTTCTTGTGGTCGACGGACTCAAACTGCGATTGCGTCAAGCGCACAGCCAAGGCCACGATTGAAAATCGTACCATACCGTAGCAGCCAAATTCAATACCCTCTGGTGAACTAACATAGCAATGGAAAATGGCCCAGTCGAAATAGTGAGTTTTCCCATGAAAAATGGGTGGATCTTTCCATTGCTTTTTGTATGTTCACCAGAGGGTAAACTTCGTAGCTTTAAAAAACCAGATCAAACCATCCGATGTCTGGTGTACCCTCTGGTAAACTAACAGTTTGCTATGGAAAATCACCATTTTTAATGGGAAAATCCACTATTTCTATGGCCATTTTCAATTGCTATGTTAGTTCACCAGAGGGTAAATGAAGATTCAAGCTTTATGGAGCCATACCAAAACACCGACTTGCAATTGACAGACCATCTACAGGTGCCCCTTTGGAAGCCCCTGAAAAAAATAATGTGAAGGCTAATTCCTACAGGGATGCTATAGAATGCTTTTTGGAAATACAGCCATCTTACAACTAAGTTGGTTTATAACTCCAATTTCACTATGGTTTATGGTACGCAAATAACGAACTAGTTACTGGGGCGAATCAAAACCAACTTATAGAGGGGGGCCACATTGTAGGATTCCATGCCATGAAAATCACAATACGTAGCTATCTTCCACAGCATCAGCCAGGCCACACTTTCATCGCCGTGATTTCAACCTGAGGCGATCCTCAACGGTTTCAACGTGACAGCTGATCTGCTGAACTTTTCAAGGCATCCGATCAAACGTAGACTGCGACGAAGCCTCAATTCATCATGCGCTTCCTAAACTCTGTGCTGCATCAATTTCCCTGGGAACTTCACAAAAGAATCACCGGCTTTCAGCTTGGAATGTGTGGAAGATGTAGCCAACAGTTGCAACCGATTTGGGATGATTCAACGGGCAGTTGTTCAACATCATCCTCCGAGAAAGATATTCATGTTCAGTGCGTAATGGTTCCAAGATTCAGAAGACTTTAGTGTCATCTCCCAATTGAAAAACCGTGGCATGATGTCATCTTTCCTTCTGCTATTTATACCATATATAGCTATTGAACATGGCCCAGTCGAAATAGTTGATTTGCCTATGCAAAATTGTGATTTTCCATCTGTAGCTATGTCAGTTTACCAGAGGGTAATATACTTTGTTATCCGCATTCTTGTTGGTTAAATCCCTATGAATCACCAGAACAACTCCCATTGGAATCCCATTGAAATCGCATTCAATCCTTATTGATGATGATGAAATCCCATTAAAATTCCACTAAATCTCATTGTTCATGGCCATATCATGCCATATCTTAAGTCAACAAGTCAATCAAATTCAATCCTTCGCCAGCACCGGACCCGTTCCCGGAGCAACCTTGATGTTCACCAACAAGACATGGACACCTTCCAGAGCCTCGCGATATCTCGCGATTTGGTGAACATGACATCCCAGCGCATCATCAAGTGCCCAAAAAATCTACGGATGTGAAAAAATATGATCATTATGTTATCCCATACTATCCCCAAAAACATCAAACACACTGTTTTGAGATTAAACAAATACTCTTGTAAACAAACATCTACACATTTGTCAAACTACGACGTTTCATTTGGCGGCTCCTGAATACAAATAGCAAAAATGATTGATTCAGTAGGTGAAAGAGGTGAAAGAGTACCTGTCGAACATCTGAAACTTCAAAATTAGTTTCCACGTGGCTCATGAATATGACCTGGATGGTGTCTTCAAACATTTGCCAACCCCCCAAATCCAGTCAAACATCAAACAAGAACAACCAAGCTTCATCAAAACAACATCCTGAAACATTCTATCTGAATATCTGCAAATCCACATCCCATTCATCAATGGATTGGTTTAAGGGAAACTTTACAGGAAAACACCATATGTGATGGGAAAATCCATGGTTTCCTGTAGATTTTCCCTTAAACCAATCCATTGAATTCAACTGTGTGGCGGTGCCTGCTGACTCTTGAGCTTCTTGTACACCAGGAAACCTCCAAGTCCTCAGAAATGATATCAAGCACCGGTTGGTGGTTTCGACCCCTCTGAAACATATGAGTTTGTCAGTTGGGAGTATTATTCCCAATATATGGACAAATAAAATTCATGTTCCAAACCACCAACCATATATATATATATATATGAATATGTGTATATATATATATATATACATATGTATATATATCTACATATGTATATATATATATGTATATATATATATATACATATATATTATACAATATATGCAGCATGGTCAAAATACATACAAATCAAAAGCTGTTTTTGCTATGATCATCCCATCATCATTCTGGATTTCTGTGGGAATGGCACCGCCCTGCACATCTCCATGGAACTGTCGAACGAACGATATTTGTTTTGAAATAGCAAAGCCCATAAATAGAAGCATGGTTCCAATGGGAATGGGACTTACTGGAATTTTATGGTATTTTAATGTGACTTAATGGGATTTTATGGTATTTTAATGGGATTCAATGGGATATATGATGGTTACCCTCTGGTAAACGTTAACAAAAACTATGGAAAGATCCACCCATTTTCTAGCTGGGAAAATCCACTATTTCGACTGGGCCATGTTCAATAGCAAACTGTAACAAATTACCAGAGGGTAATAGATCGTATTAAAACCTCATGTTACTTCATATTTCCAGGTTTCCAACTGTTCTATCATAAAAAAATTGGGGTTGCTATAATACATCCATATAAGACTTTTATCCCCATCCATCATGATCCATCAACCACGGCTATTGCTGCATGTTTAGATATGTTTACCGGTGAAGCGCCATCTTTCTTAGTGGATCCTGCCAGTTTTCCACGCGGCCTCTGCCTCTGCCCATCCTCTTCTCCGTGCCGGGGCACCGACTCCCACCGCCAACCACACTTGGTCGCGAAGGCTGTGAGGAAAAGGGCAGAAATTCATGGCTCCCAACCGACCACAGAGATTTTTTTGCACGGCTCTGCTCTGTGAGAACCGCGGAGAAAATTAATGAACACATGATGCAAAGATATATGGAGAATAGTTTTTGTTGAGGCTTGCAGTTGAATCATAAAGCATAACACTGACTGTGACATGAGTTTCTGACTTTGTAGCCAGTAAGCTGGTTTTCTTCGTCAGGAATGCCATTTGTCAGTGCCATGAATTTGAGCCACAACGCGATGGGATGTACAGGTCTTTTTGCCCAAAAAACATGGCGAACAATGAGGTGCAAACCAACCCAATCCCAAATTTTCCCTATAATTGCTTCGCAACGTCTATAGATCGGTGCATCACATGTTGTGCCCTCTGGTAAACGTTTACATAGCTGTTTTTCAAATCACCACTTTTAGTGGGTAAATCAACTATTTCTATGGACCATTTTCCAGTTCGCAAGTCGCAAACTGTAACAAATTACCAGAGGGGATTTATTCCATATTTTATATATATTTCCCATGAAAACTCCTAGTTTTGCAATAGCGTGTAACAGTCATGACCAGAGGGTCACATTTGAAAACACCGAAACATTCGATTTGAGATTCCCCCAATTCCTGGGATTCATCCATCTGGTATCAACCATGTGGTATCAAGCATGGTGATCTCAAATTGAGAATATTTTCATCGCCTCTGGTAGCGGTATCACATGATAATCGATGGATAATCCATGGATATTTCATGGATACCCTCTGGTAAACATACAAAAAACTATTGAACATGGCCCAGTCGAAATAGTTGATGTTCCCATGAATAGCATGGGTTGATTTTCCATGCTAACGTGAAAACCAGAGGCTACGTACCGATGGTCATCAGCTCGTTTACCTCACCGAGTCCAACAACTGTCACTTTTTTTGTGCCTTAAAAAGTTCTGCTTGTTTGTAAACTCAGTTATCACCTGTTAAACAATGTTAACTAAGTTCACTATAGATAAATCATCCATAAATATCAAATATAATATAATATAATAGATAGGATAGGATAGGATAGGATAGAGAGACAGATAGATATATAAATAGAAAGATAGAAACAAAGATAAATGGATGGATGGATGGCTGGATCGATAGATAGATCGATGGATCGATTTGCAATATTCTCCATAAATCCAATAAACCTCGGTTAAACCAAGTTATCCAATATGGGGCACCACCTTCATCCACCTTCATAGCTCAGCCCAGCTCCTTTCTTGAAAACACCGGCGCAACCGACTTGGGGTCAACCCCGAGCCGCAGCTGCACACAGCAAAAAAAGTATCGCCTGGTTGCGGTCTCTGGGACACCCATAGCCCATACGTGATAGCTAAATGAACCACAACCTTGACCAAGATCAAAATTTATAGATGGTTCATGGGATCCCATGAATCTTGAAATACCCAGTGATGTCAAAATTACAGTATTCTAAGATCATCCGCTGGCTTGTCTGGAACATTCTGGAACAACCATACAAAAGCTGACGTCCAGGGCTTTCTAAAACAAACAACATATCATAACGCTTTCATAAACCAACCGTCCAAATTCAAAATGGACGATGCAAAATGATGCAAAATGGGGAATGGTGGTGTGAAACATGTTTTTTTTCGAAATAACGTGGAATACCATTAAATAGTCAGTGACTCGAAGCATTAGTTTCCCAATGGATTGTCCCAGTTTCCACCGCACCAGTCGGAAAATCGAGCAACGCTTGGCGCTGCTCGGGTCGGGAAGACGGACGCCTCTTTAAGGGGGACCCGCACCTGTAATGTTAAAATCCGGGCCACTACACGCTGTTCAAAGGGCCAGCCTGGGGAGCGATGGAGTTATTCTGATTTGTTGGAAAGACACCTGGGACGTCAATGATGTGGACAAAAAACAAACCTTGAAAACCATTTGACAGAAGTCCATTGATCACGTTCCAAGTTAAGTTCGGCAGTAAAAATCTTGGTACCAAGGGATCAGTCAAGCCTTGACATGTCTTGTCACATCTACATCTGCTTGTCCCACTGGCCATTTGCAGTTCCGACTGCACTGTGAGACCTTCAGTTTGAAGGGCCCTGAAAATGCGCCGGAAGTAGACCCGAGGCTACGATGATTGCAGCTAAACTTCTCTTCCAAATTTATTTCAAGAAATCCTGAAACTCATATGTAGGGGCCTCCCAAATCTCTCACAAACAACAAACTAATCAATGATTCACCAACGTGATCCACCAGAGTGAGTGGCGTATCTTTCAGTTTTTGACAGACTCAGTTGGATGTGTTTGCATCATGGAGTCATACCTGACAATGGTCGCAGCTTCAACACATCGTTTTCCCCTATGGCACTCCCCACACCCAAATAGAAACGTTTGGCAACCTGGAAACTAAGTTTCTATCTTTTGGGAACACCTATAATATATATATATCACATAATATGTATATATATATAATATACATAATATATATAATGTATATATAATATAATATAATATACATATATATATATAATATGTATACATGAAATTACATGAATGGCATTATTTTTGAGGATAATTTCCAGATCTAAACAATGCCGGGAGCTTGTTGCAAGCCAGGGTAAGACCTGGGGCCGGCGAACTCTTCGCTTCAGTTAAGGGGATATGAACATCGACAATTCAACCGGGGAAACAAAAAACCGCAGTTAAACGGCCCGAAATACCAGGTATCAAGATCTATCAAGTCAGTTTTAGTCATCCCATAAAAATGGACTGGTAATCCCATTTATAGGTATAGCCATAAAAATAACTGGTAACGGGCATTAAAGGGCTTTAATTGCAGGATTCTAGCAACATTTTTTATTCGCGCCGATGCCAGATGGATATCTCGAGGCAATTCTGCTGAGCCGAGTCCAGAAAGGGTCAAAAGTTGACCCATGTTCAACCCCAAACCTAGGAGTGAAATGATTTGAACCTTTACTTCCCATGAATTCTCATTCCATAGTATTCCCTATAACAATATTTCTGCTTGGTGGTTGAGCCCTACCCCTCTGAAAAATATAACGAATCGTCGGTTGGGATGATGACATTCCCAATGTATGGAAAATAAAAGCCATGTTCCATTCCAGTCACCACCAACCAGATATATTATTATTCCAATTATTAACCATAGATTAACCATAGATTTTGTTAAATTCCCAGTTACATCATGCGTTCCAAACACTTTTCAGGGTCACCGAACGGGAGGCCTTGGACACAGACGACACAGACCGCAGCTTCAACCGAACCTCGGAGGTCCGAGATGACGACATCAGCAATTCCTGACATATTATTCATATGATTAATATGGTAAATATCAAATGTTCATATCAATAATAAATATAAATAATATTTTTTTTACATAATAAATATTTGGTAAATATCAATAATATGGTAAATATCAATAATATTTTTTTTTACATAATAAATATTTGGTAAATATCAATAATATGGTAAATATAGTAATATGGTGGTATATGGTAAACAAAATGTCATATAATAATGTTGGATATGACACATATGGTGATATGTGATATAAATAATATGTAAATATCAACAATATGGCAATGTTCCCTCCGATATGGTAATAATATGTAATAATATGTGGGATAAATATAGGGGAATGTAATAATATGCAAAGAATATGTAATATATATATATCCCACACTTGGTAAACCAATATTATATTGTAAATATGGGTAAATTACATATTACATAAATATGGGATTACCTTTAAATATGGGTAAACCAATTATTAATGGTAATCATCTTAGTAAAGAATGATGGTAATTCCCATCATGGTACTGGCAATGTAATAATATGTTTTGACAAAGTTTTGACAAAGGCCCCATACCGTAGGTATGTACCATGATCGCTGGAAAGAATGTTGTTTAGTTGGTTTAGTTGCTTGGAAATTCCATGGGAAATTCACATTGCCAATCTTTAGATACCCTGCAAAAAATGACAAATTCTGAATGCTGGTGAACGTAGATATTCCCATTACCAAAAGACTAGTTAGGATTAGTTTGTATCCATGTTTCAGATTGACCTAGTTCAATGGTGCAATTGCGATGCTGCAGTGGGGGTCCTAAGTTTTATCAAACAGGCTCTAGTTTCACGACCAAACCATACTTTCTATCATACTTAAATGGGTCATGACGTTGCTTGACTGGTCAAGCAACAGAACAAGGTGCCCCAGTTCAAAGTTCGTTTACACACCCATTAAACTATAAAATTTATGTACCATAAATCCAATCGTTCGCTGGTTGGTGGTATACCTACCCCTCTGAAATTCCCAATATGAATGGAAAGTCTGAAATTCCCAATATGAATGGTTCGCCACACAGATAGCAGAAAGTCCCAATACCAAGCTTCTGAGCTTGCTGAGCTTTCTGAAATTCCCAATATTTTCATGGAAAGTCTGAAATTCCCAATATTTCATGGAAAGTCTGAAATTCCCAATATTGATGGAAAGTCTGAAATTCCCAATATTGATGGAAAGTCTGAAATTCCCAAAATTTTCATGGAAAGTCTGAAATTCCCAATATTTTCATGGAAAGTATATGGAAAGTCCCAATCCAACTAATCCAAACCACCAATCTCTGCACATCGTTCACCATCGCACACACGAGCAGCTCAGGCCCCTGCTGGATGTTGTCCTTTGCCCATGAATACTGCGCCCTGTCCGAGAAACGTTCCGAGGGGATGATATGTTTATCTACGAGGCGCAGGGACGTTCGGAGAGCAACTGGAGGTCTAAAACCATAGAAAAACCATAGAAAAACCACAGAAAACCCATAGAAAACCATAGAAAACCATAGAAAAACCATAGAAAAACCATAGAAAACTCACGAAACACTTGGCATGGTGAATTATTGTCTGGTCGGTGGTATACCTACCCCCCTGAAAAATATGAAAGTCAGTTGGGATCATTATTCCCAATATAATATGGAAAAATAAAATTCATGTTCCAAACCACCAACCAGTTGTGAATGGTTAATCCTTGTTTAGTGTTCCAATTGTCAATTCAGTGTTCCACTCAAATGGATCTGACAACTGTTGGCTCAGCAACCAGCCCTGAAAAACTCAGGACAACAAAACTGGTGTGGAAAGTCCCTATAACCCATCGTGATGCAACTCTTAGAGAGCATTGACATACCCCAAAGAGTCTTGGTGGTATCCCCAACTAGGAACCCGTTTTCAAGGTCACACACATAGTACTGCAAGCCCGTTTTGTTGATTGTATCATGTACTGCATCACGTTTTTTAATAGTTTTTTTGGTACCCAATACATCCCAAAACAATATCAGTTGGGGTGTTCAAAGCAACACACACCCCATTACACATGTGCCAATCTAAACTTGGAAAGGCGAGCCTGGAGTGAGATGATTTCAACATCGAACATGCAAAAATTCTAAGGCGATCTGCCACCCCAATACCCCTCAATCCAGGTTTCCTCAAAACATGTAGCGGAAAACATTCGGAAATTCCTCTGGTGCAATACATCATTTTCCGTATTCAAAAAACATACGAATCATGGCATTGCGGTCGTGTATACCGTACCCTCTGGTAAACATACAAAAAGCTATTGAAAATGGCCATTTATAGTTATAACGTTACGTTAGTTTACCAGAGGGTAATATACCCCATAGTTCAAGTCCTCAAGTCCACTGTGATGGCCATCAAGTATATCAAGTCCAAGAGATGCAGATTTCATCTCCGAGACCCGATTCTGAATGATGGCCATTTAGGGGTATACCGCCGCCGGTGTTTGAAAAACCTCATTTTCAGACACACAGAATCGCTATCCCAATCTCAAAAGTTGGTGAAACATCCCATTTGTGTTATCCCAAAATCTTCTCCCAAGATTGAAACGGAACACATAGTCCGATGGAAATCCCCTACGACACTATTAACAGCAACTATGGTTTCTTGGGGGGTGGTAAAAAAAATCGTGGAATGGGATTCTCCAGATTTCCCCGACCTCAGCTGGGTGATATGCGACACATCATGCCAATCCTCAGCGCGGCTGCCACCAAAGCTGAGGATAAAATCCAAAATCATATGAACATATGATATATATATATATATTTATACATTAAATATTATCAATCATAATAACATATAATAACTAATAACTATATTGAGCTTAACTCCGAAACAAACAATATGAGCTGGACATTAGACAAAACTCATTGCCCTTTGCATGGTTGATACTTGAAATGATCAATCCAAAGATGAGGATGAAGTCCCTAAACAACAACAACAACAACAACAACAGACATGGTTCAATCCTGAAATGATGAAGATCATCTGTGGATTGAACGGTTGGTTTCATTGGCTATGAGAGGATTCTCTAATTCAATGGATCAAGGATCACCAAAAATCTCTGAAATCAGTGGTCAGCAAGTTGAATGCAGAGGATTAATTTCAACCTTTGTGGTTTAGATTAGAACCCATCAATTTTTCTTGGGGGGATATAAGGGAATACAATGGGGTATTTGATACAACCATGTGATCATATAATTTGATATTTACGGCTAGCTTTGGCTGATCAGGTCCCTAAATTTGGATGGTTCATCACTTTCCCCATGAAATGCCAGAAATTGTGGAAAGACAAGCCATTCGAAAAGAGAGCCACGCCACAGACATATTTTCAGATTTCAATGAACCATTCACCTCACCTCATGAACAAAAATTCATCAGCAGCTAAGCTTCCATCGTTTTTGATGCTCAAAAAGATGCCAGACTGGATTAAGCACTTAAATTAAGCACGCACCTTACACTATCGAGCTCTTCCCCAGGTATTCGAACCGCAAACATGGCGAGGCACAGTGTTCCACTTGCCCTGAAAGACTTCGCCATAGAGCGACATGGGGCGGTACCTGGCGTAGCAAATGTGCCATTTCGAAGAGGAAAACATGTGGAATTGTTCGATTTAACTTAACTATATAATCTATATATATATATTATTATACTATGTAATGGGATCATAAATGAGAAAACCAGAATGATTGTTTATTGTTCAGTTTCATGATGGTTTTAATGAAATTTATGAATGAACAATACTGCCATAGTACGAACTAATTTATGATCCAGGATACTTATGTTTCGGATTTCTATGAATTTGTAAATATTTTTTGCCAACCACCGACTGGAAATGTCGATGGATATTGAGTAGCAGAAGGGTTGATTGTTCTTTTAGGACAACTAGAGGGGCCGGAGGTATACTATTTATATCTATTCGTTCTCATCCACCGATGGGTTGTTGAATGGGGGAACCCTCTTTTATTCAACCAACCAGTATCTATGCATCATAAATCTCCATGTTCTATACATCAGAGTACTTACATAAGGGATAAATCATGATAAATCACAACCCAATCATAACCCCCCTGTTGTGTCATGCTTTCCACCACCAAACATTTTCTGCTTGGGGGTGGTGTTCACCAAAGCCTCCCTCAGGCCCGGGCTTTTTGGGTTGCAAGTACGTCATGATTCCTGGGATCCGCTGCAGAAAATATCACCCAGGATTGGGTGACAGTCCTACAATTTGTTAAGACGCTGGGATCATCAGGGGTTGGTAAATGTCCCATTTTGGGAATATTGGACATCACCTTATAGTAGCCATTATAGACCATATACCTAATGGTTGGGTGATGTTCAATGGGGACATTTAATGACCCATGATCATGTTCAAACATGTTCAAACATATGAAAATCACTTGTGGAGCAGCAAAAACCTTCCAAGATTTTCAGTAGCTACTTCCCACTTTTCACTGTTTCCTTTCCCACCTTTCATCAGCCTCCTTACGTGGCCTTACGCAAGTGAGGGTTTTGCTGACGCCAAACACGTTATGACAAGGTGTGTTTACTGAAAATGTCCAAAGGGATCTAAAGGGATGTTTTTTTTTAAGCAGCGCATTTTTTCAGGATAACCTGACAACTTCAGGAGTCAACTCCCGAATTGACTGATTGTGGAAAAACCATTAAAAAAGGCTACTCACAAAAAAAAGGTCTACTAAACTCAGTTTCATTCAGAATGGCAATCATTCATTTACCGTTAATGTAATGACCATAAAAATACCATTAACATAATTACCCATATACCATTAATATCCGTTGCAAAACAACTAATTCCTACTACTGTAAATCCAATATATCATTAATTGCTAAACCATTAACTACTATTAATGTTAGCACCTATTGTAGCATGGTACTCTATTGTGGCAAATTTTTTCCTCCTTATTCAGTAACCTGCTGTTTGGTGGGGGGGGCCTCTATTGTGGCAAATGTTTTTCCAGTTTTTTTTGTTCAAAAAAATTGTTCCTAATTAATTAATTAAATATGTTTTGATTTTTTTAAAATTAGTTAATTACTGAAAATTTGTTTTTCTGTTTTTCATTTTTTTTTATATTAAAGCTTTAAAATGCAAAGTTTTCCAAATAATTAGATGCCTTATTAAACCCTTATTAAAAAACAGCATCCAGACAATTTTTCAAGGTGGTACCCCATGAGTGGCTGAGTTACTCAATAATATGAATGTTTGGATGGTACTCTATTGTGCCCAACCACTTTGGGGGTTGAAAAAAAAAACAAAAACCCTTTCTCCACCTTTCTTTGAGTAAAGCTGGTCCATTTACTTTAGGAAACCATATTTGTATTAAAGCTTTAAAATGCAAGGTTTTCCAAATAATTAGATGCCTTATTAAACCCTTATTAAAAAAACACCACCCAAACAATTTTTCAAGGTGGTACCCCATGAGTGGCTGAGTTACTCAATAATATGAATGTTTGGATGGTACTCTATTGTGCACAACAACTTTTGGGGTTCAAAAAAAAAACGAAAACCCTTTCTCCAGCTTTCTTTGAGTAAAGCTGGTCCATTTACTTTAGGAAACCATATTTGTGATAAAGCTTCAAAAATGCAAAGTTTTCCAAATAATTAGATGCCTTATTAAACCCTTATTAAAAAACAGCATCCAGACAATTTTTCAAGGTGGTACCCCATGAGTGGCTGAGTTACTCAATAATATGAATGTTTGGATGGTACTCTATTGTGCCCAACAACTTTTGGGGTTGAAAAAAAAATCGAAAACCCTTTCTCCACCTTTCTTTGAGTAAAGCTGGTCCATCTACTTTAGGAAACCATATTTGTGATAAAGTTTTAAAATGCAAGGTTTTCCAAATAACTAGATGCTTTATTAAACCCTTATTAAAAACCACCACCCAAACAATTTTTCAAGGTGGTACCCCATGAGTGGCTGAGTTACTCAATAATATGAATGTTTGGATGGTACTCTATTGTGCCCAACAACTTTTGGGGTTGAAAAAAACAAAAACCCTTTCCCCACCTTTCTTTGAGTAAAGCTGGTCCATTTGTTTTAGAAATAGATATTTGTGTTAAAGCTTGAAGATCCAACCTTTTCCAAATAATTAGATGTCTGAAAAACCATGAATGGCTGAGTTACTCAATAATATGAATGTTTGGATGGTACTCTATTGTGCACAACAACTTTTGGGGTTCAAAAAAAAAATCGAAAACCCTTTCTCCAGCTTTCTTTGAGTAAAGCTGGTCCATTTACTTTAGG